AGGGTACAAAGTTGTAGCTCTGTCAGGTAAGTCTAGAGAAAATGTACAGCCTGATGACTAATACTGCATTGAATACTGGAAATTTGTTGAGGGCATTAAGTGCTCTCATCACAAAATAGAAGGATAGTTATGTGAGACGATATGTTAATTAGCTTGACTGTAAATATCTTTTCACTGTATTTATGTATCAATTTGCTGTACACCTTAATTTTTTTAATGAAAAGAGATGAATTTTAGGGCCCATATGGATCACCCAGGCAGCTGGGCTTCCTGCTACCATCTCCCAAACCATGTTAGTAAAGATGATAAAAATGAGGGAGGCCTTGAGGAAATATTCCCAACCGTTATTGACCAGGCCCTGTTATCCTAGTGAACACCAGGGATTTAATTGCAGCTCCACTGAACAGACGGGAAATTTCAACATTGAACGTCACAGAAAGACAAGTCTGGAGTAAGGAGAGAAACCCCTCAAAATCCACGAAGACTTGAATGCTGAGGAACACAAAGCTAAGGAGAAACAATGGTCAGGCCACAGGGGAAGAATCTAAGCACCTGTCCCCAAGACCTATTGTTCATCTAAACCCAAGTGGTAGAAAGTGCCAAGTCTCAGCACCTCAGATTGTAGCCAAGCAGGAGCTAGGCCGCATATGCAAACCCCAGGAAGACCTCACAGGTCAAAGTGAAGAAACAGCGAAAGGAACACCATGACCTTCTCCCCAAAAGTTACCAGACCTACTGGTTCTCAGTCTTGCCTCTTTCAGTCTTCATATCCAGCCATCCCCAGGCCTTTAGAGTCCTTGCCACGGTGCGAGTGCCTACCACATACCCCCATGGGCAGCACCAACATTGCAGACTGTTCACATGACTCCTTCCATGAGCACCTGCCCCTTTCCAGGTGGAGACTGCTTCCAAAACCCTTCTGTGGTAGGTAGAATAATGGCCCCTAAAAGGTTTACATCCTAACTCCCAGAACTTATATATTATGATTACATAACAGAAATGCATATTATATATGGAACCAAGGTTACTAATCAGTTGATCACAAAATAGGAAGACTATCCCAGTAGGACCAGTATAGTCATAAGGGTCTTTAAACATGGGCAAGGAAGACAGAAGAGTCAGTTCTAGGGTGAAGTGACATAAGAACGGCTTTGCTAGCCATCACTGGTTGTAGAAGGAAGGGGGCCATGAGCCAAAATATACAGGCAGCCTGTAGTAGCTGGAGAAGTGGAATGAATATCCCATCCAGATGCCCTAGGAGAGTATGCAGTACTGCCTACAACTCCACTTTGAGACTCAATTCAGATCTGAATAGATAATGTCTCCTATTTTAAGTCTTAATAGTAGTTTGTTACAGCAGCAATAGGAAATTAGTATCTTTTCTATTAGGACTCGGTGATCCATACAAAGAACGTGGAGTGCAGGGGAAAGCCTTCTGAGCTCAAGTTTTCTGCTAAGGAATGACTAGCTCCACTCTCTACATCCCAGCAGTACCAAGCTGGTAGCGTGCTCGACAACGGGAAAATTATAACCATTACCACCATCAGGACTACCTCTTGAAGATGATCAGACTCACAAGCAAGGGCACCATTCAATGAGCTTCCAGCTGCAGCGCTGCAGGATCTGCTGTAGCAATCCAGCCTAGATTCTTCTTCCCAGGGAGCAATTGGCCAAAGACTGAGCACAGGGCAGTACTGGGGCCTCACCATTTCCACCCAATCCAAGTTTCCTCCCCTGGTCATCTCTGTACAACATCTCCCTCTTAGAATGGCCGAGACTCTACCGCAGAGCTGTGCTGCAGTCTCCGGCTCTTTCTGTCCTTCCCCTTCTTTCTCGGGTGTTACAATGACGTGTAAAGATTTTTTCAGCCTGCCCCTTCCATCTGCCTCCTTTTTCCCCCTGGCTTTATGCCCACTAAGTCTCTTGGGTTTTCAACTCCAAAGGACCCAAACTTGACAGCAGTAGAAGTTCCTCCTCCTAAGAGGACTGCCTGCCTGTGAGGGCATGCCCTCTAGACCTGCATTCAGTGCTCTACTGCATACGGAGACATGCAAAATAGAATCCAACACTTCTGTCCTCATGCCTCAAACAAGTCAAGAAATTGGCCATAGTCCAGAGTTAAAGGTCACACGCTTGTTGTGGATGAGTTTTAGGAAGTACAAGATGCTGTTAAAAACGGTACTATCCCCCAAGAAACTGGGATCTCATTCTACTCCTTCCTGGGACTGGCAGCTTTAAAATATCTCAACCCCACGGGCTTGAAGACAGAAATGCTCTCTAGCAGATAACTGCCTGTGGTTTACTGAAGCAGCTTCACAGGACAATTAAAGCTTCCTGCTCCTGCCCCCCGCCACCTCAAGAGGTACTAGCTCTGGTCGCAAGCTTCTCTAAGCTTGTCCCAGGAGGTCCCTCTTGACCCTCAGCCTTTCTCACTTCTTCCACGATGGTGGAGTCTTCCCCCAACAATACCTCAGATATCTTGCCACTGTATTCCCTCTTGCCTACACTTGGCCACAGCAGAGGTATTCTTGCAAGTATTTCATTTTTGCCCTCAATTTAACCCTCCCAATCTGACATTCCCCCTTAGGGCAGAAACCCAAGTCTCTAAGAGCTTGGAGAGGGTCTTTCCTCTGAACAACCCCTGATGTCGACTCTGCTGTTATGAATTTACTTCTGACAGTTAAGAACTAAACATATAGTACGGGCAGTGGAGCTGTGAACATCACCTTGAAGCCACACACTAGCACGGGAAGCTGTTCAACATCCCAAGACCTTCTGAAAAGACCAGACCCAGCCGGTAAGTCTATTCTCCCAGGAGATTCGAGTCAGATCCTATCCTGGGAAGCCAGGCCCACTGTGTGCCCACACCAGTTTAACTGGGAAGAAATACTGCTCTAGAATTTCTGTGATAGAGAACCACGGAATTTGACAGGCTCCATTGCCCAAGAACACTAGACTCACCTCCATACGCAGGAGGATCAGGCTGAGCTCAGGTCCGTCCGACCACCCCTTTAGAGTAACGGCCAGGGAGAACGGTCTTCCCCACCATGAAGGGGAACCTGACCCTGCTGCTCTGCTGGTGCCACACGTTGTCAAGAGCACCTGGGAGACTGGAAATCCTTAGCCTGCCCTCAACTCTTCTGCATGCTGGTGTGGAGCCAGGGATACAGGACCAGCAGCAGCACGTGGTGGGTCTCTGTAGGCTGTCTGGTCATGGCACCGCAGCACTTCAGTTGCCAGGTCAGACTACCTTGGTGACACTGGATCAGAAGAACCAAGCTTGGGAGAAATGGTCCCCCTGAACCAGGCTGAATGAGCCTTTTGCCATAAGGTGGAGGAAGCCGGCTTGGTTAGCATTTTCCCCCACACGATCTGGAAAGGGCACTGCTCTGAAAACTAAAGAGGACGGTTCAGCTACATATGCCCCATGAATTGTTCCCCATCTCATTAACCCAATTCTTCTTCTTCCCTTGGATAAGACAGGTGATAGGAAAAGACTAGAGAAGGACTTCCCCATATTTCAAAGAGGAAAGGAATTCTACTTCACAGGGACAGCAAAGCTACACTGTGAGCCAGATTGTTTTTTTCCAGTCTCCCAACTCACTTGCCCAAACCCACTTCCCATTCCAAGGGACCCCTTTAAGGTACTCCAGTTACATGTCCCAGTGGATACTGGGAAAGCAACACTGACATTACCCACCCACAGAAGACACAGTGTGAACTTCAAGCAGCCAGCTGTGTCTTGTCCTAGTCTCCAAAACAAACAAAGCCCTTAAGCCTTTTTCTAGGACTTGCCAACTCCCTAACAAAGGTTTTCCCCACTCTTTAAAGAGATTGACAACTACAGATAAGAACCCTGTATATTTGTTATGTGGGCCAAGACTGATTTCCTTTCCTTTTTTGAATAGACTAATAATAAACTGGGTAACTTTACTAGTTTTTTCCTTGAATTTGTTCTTATTTAAGGAACCCACAGTTGATTCTTACAAAATATAGCAAGACAAAAAAAACTTGTTGAAAACAATTTTTCAACAATCATGCTACCGTGCTTCAGTGTTAGCAACTTTTTCCTATGATATATCCCCAACTCTATTTCCTTTCCCTTAATCTAAACCTTGACGGTGCCAATTAGGAGTTTTATCCCTCTAGTAAAATGCGGTCATCTATGACATCTAAAGATATGACAAGACCAGTCAGTCAGCACCACAAGAAATACATGACCAAGTAGGTACAAAGTAGGCTTCTCCCTGCCACTCCACTGCATACTCAATTCTATGTGGTCTCTGGCACCATCTAAAGCAATGATCATGGCCTCAATACCCCCCAGCTCCCATGTATCCAGTGTTTCACTGTTGTCCTTCCCAGAGAATGTAGGAGTCCCATCCTTTCTTTCCCCCTAAAAACAAAGAAACAAGAATTGATTCAGGCAGCCCTCAAATCCTTGCTTTTCGGGAGCCAGCTAGAGTGAGACAGTCCCCTTGAGGACAACTGTAATTCCATGTCTCTTCTCTAGACACAGACTTGAACAAAAGGCAACCCTTTTGATAAGAAGGACCTAAGGATCTCTGGCCAGCTTAGGCTCAGGTGTCAATTCTGATAGTGACCATAACTGTGTCCCAACTTCAATGTTTAAATTGTCATTTGAAGACAGGTTGAGAAAGCCCAACATAGAAAAGAGATCCAGTCACAGCAATTCTTGTACAGGCAAGCATGGAGAAGGTCCCAGAGCCTGTGTCTGGGTACACCTGTTGGAACTCATACCCATTATTTTATCAAAGACCTCTGGGCAAGGTCCAATGACTAAGATGTGACTTAAATCAAAATGGTACATTACAAGGTCAAGACAGTGCTTTTTGGTTTCCATACCTTCTTTCCCTGATTATCAATCCCACCAAAAGACTCCCAAGATCGACTCAATTTGAGTAGTTGAGAATGTATCTAATCCCACCTTTAACCTTCTCATTTCATACACAAAATGAACCTCAGAAGTAGCAACCTACCCAGCTAATAACTGGGTCACGGTGGTGGTCAGTGGTAGAACAAGTTGCACCAGTGTTGGTCAGGACACGAAGCTCTGCCTCGGGAACAGCCACTGCTCCTGGGTAGATTGCATGGTCCATTGCCACAGTCCTGGAAGACTCGGGATCTAAGCAAGGACCCAGTTCTTGGGACTGCTGTTCAAAGAAACAGAAGAAAAGAGCTTAGAAAATGGCAAGAACAAGGGATCAGTCACTAAAATTTGATAGCAGTCAGCATAGGACCAATAACAGATCTGACTTAAAGCTAAGTGACCATTGCTGGCCTGTTACACCATAAAAAATAGAACTGACACTAGATCCCGAGTTACAGCTAAGAAGCTTTACCTGTGAAGATGGGATGCTCTGGACACAAGCCAAGCAGGTCACCTTTCCAGCCAATGCCCCTCCATCTACCCACTAGCAATAATTATTCGTGTTTAAGAATGACCTTCAGATTTCCCCAGCATGCAGACTGTAGTCTGAAATATGTGTTTCTAGCAAGTTCTCTTCATCTTCAGAGAGATTTTCTCCAATCAGAAGAACACCTTTGAGCAAAGCTTCCTACCTAGCAAGCCACAGGATAGCAGGTTATGTTGATAGGTGTACGACACAGCTCTCATTCCTCAGGAGGGCTGGGGCCTTCAGCTGTCTAGCTTCCAATCCCCTCCAGTGTGTGAGTTATACAAGCGAAACTGTAATCATTAAATCCATTTCACCTGGAACCTGCCTTCACTAATCAAGGTGGTTTGACTGTTGCTACAAAAGACTTGCATGTCCTCCAAGTGGCACAATGCCTAAATAAGATGTTGTTTGCCCGAATTTTTTTCTCCAGGAACTTAGAGGCAGCTGTGTCTAGTTCAAGCTGATCCAGCTAAGACTGGATGGGAACCACCGACCCTCCAACATGCACAAGTGTGCACTTGGTGACCTTTGGACATCAGAGGGCTGAAAACTCCACCTTCAGGTCATTCTAAGCACCTCCAGTTTTAATGTGCAGAGGCCTGTAGCTTAGTTACTCCCGCTCAGAACTACAATTACCATACTTTTCCCCAATCACCTTTCCCCATGCAACTCACACTCCAAGCCTCAGACTGCTCTGCTTCTTTATTCTTCATCCTATAAATACCCCGAGCCCCTTGCCTTCAGGGAGGTATGTGAGATGCGTTCTCCCATCTCCTCACTTGGCTGCCTTGTGAATAAACCCTCTCTTTGCTGCCAATCTAGGAGTAACTGCATTTTGGCTTGATACCTGAGCATCTGGCAAGATGCACCTGATTCCGTAACACCAATATTTTCCAATGGAAAATGATGAGAAAGCGTGGTGCTAGAAATACTCTGCTGTGGGACTCTGTTCCACAGTTCTGTGAGCAGCTCGTTATAAACATCTCCTGTGCAGCTCTGGATTTTAGCCATTCTTTCTCACCTCTCTTCCCTTTACTCTCAAAGAACCTCATCTTAGAAAACTATTGTTGCAGAATACAAGTCCTGTCTCAGGCCAACTTCTGAGAAGAATTTTGTTGTCCTATGCAAAATATCCTCTATATACTAGTCCCAGCAGCTCTATTTCTAACCAAACAACTGAGGCTTGGGGAGGGTGAGTGATTTGCCAACAGGCTACACAGCCAGAAGATGGAAGATCTGGAACTCCAGCTCAGGCCAGGGCGCTAAGTCTGTCCTCATCACTACATTATGTTGCCTCCTTGCAGAGCTCAGACTATTCCTATGGAAAAGCAGCATCTCAAGAATTCCTATGAGGAATGGGTTTAGAGAATAATAGCCTGGTCTGCAGGGAAGTGCACTCATGGCTTGAAACCAAGTTAACATAAAACCATATTAAGCAAGAACCAGAGGGTGGGGTATGGTGGGAGAAATGTGACTAGGACTCAGCCACCCCTTGGCATAGTCACTTAAGGGAATTTGGAGACGTGGCATCAAGTGCCGTGACTTCTAGGATTTAGCCACCTCTGAATCTTTCCATAGGGAAATCCTGGCAACTTCAGATCTCTAGTTTTAGAGGTCCATCTCATATTTTCTTCCTCAGCCACAGAAAACTCCAAAAGCTATAGCTCCAACAGTGGACATCATTTATTCATAACCTGCCTTCCTCCAACGGTGTTTTGAAATAACCTGATTGACAGAATGCTCTAGTAAGTGAACAGATAAGGGGGCTGTCCATTCGCTCTGTTCTCCAAACCATACCAACAACCTTTAAAAGCTCCTAAACATCAAAATGGGTATCAGTTACACATAAGAACAGCAAAAACAAAAGTTAGACTCTTGAAGGACTAAGTTATTACATGTTACATAATTTGATCAGTGAAACAGGAGTTCTTGATGTTGCCCATCTGCAAAACAATCAAAAACCTTTTGAAATAGAAGATCCTGAATTTAGCTTTTTATCAAGAGACCCATGCAGGCAAATTCAGACCTGGAATCCATTCACCTTGAAGGTAACCATAGCTTTACAGGATATACTTGTAATTGGCTAGTGATAAAGGATTTAAGGTATATTTTTAGTACAGCATCTAGTGATTATTTTGGCTAGGTTAAATAACCCCTGAGACTGCTGTGATGGCTTTAAAATCCTCCATTCTGATCAACATGCCTATAGGAGATTAGTCTCCCTACTAGGAGAGTTATTAAAATGTAGTCTAGTAGTTTAGTTATATTATCCCTTGTGAGCAGCACTGCTGTCAATCCAACATAGATTTAGTAAGTTAAGAAGGAAACTGATTTGTCATTTAAAACTGAGCACTTGAAGTACGGACGTTTAGTACTCATTCTACATACCATTTCATGCAGTAAGTTATACTACACTTTCACTCTTGATAACACCTGTGATTCTGATTGTAATTTTCAGTCACCATTTAAAAATATATATTTTATAAATATAAAATTTGTATTTCTTCCTCTTTTATTTTGATTGTCAAAATGTAATTTTGTGTCTATTAAGTCTAGTAAGACTTGGCTTCTATTCTTCTGATAATTCACTCTTACTCTATATTAAGAAGTGTTGACCCATGACAGATTAGAAGCAAACCAGTCCTACACCAGATAGTCTGAGATGCTCTCATCTGGGCCACAACAGCCTTGCAACTAAAGATAAAATTACTGCCTAGAAAATTAACCATTTTACGTCTGTCATCCCATTAGGTCCAGGTTTTAAAACTTCCACTTCAAAATAGGGAAGTTGGGGAGAAAGGGTTTTTTCAAGATGAGTCAGAAGCCAGTGTACTTGGCCTCAACCAGCCCCCAATTTCAAGCTCTACCCATTCTCAGATATTTTGAGCAAATGAGAACAAAACAGCTAGCCTTGGGTGGGAGGTATGGAGGAACGGTGTTGATAAGTATTAATACCAGCTCTAAAAGCATCACCCTGGGGTAAGAGACCCACACTCGGGGAGGCCCAAACAATAAACACTGCAGCAAATACGTCTCAAAGTAAGACCACAGGGAGATGACCTAATGGGGTCTAACATCAGCCCCATGTTTTTGGAAACTTGGCCTCCATTCAAGGATCTAACACAGGGTCTTGCTAGTTAAGCAAGACAGGGCACAACCACAAATTACAGCCTTAAACACATCCAACAGGGGGCACTTAATAATAATAGAAAAAGGAAAGTTTGACTAAGTTGTGAAACCTTGACTGCTTCTGCTAATTTGCCTGAAAAACGAACTGAAAATATGGATACTCCCACTTTAAAGAGGGAGTGAGAAGCAAGAAGAACTACAATCCTGCAGCCTGTGGAACAAAAACCACATTCACAGAAAGATAGACAAGAAGAAAAGGCAGAGGGCTATGTACCAGATGAAGGAACAAGATAAAACCCCAGAAAAACAACTAAATGAAGTGGAGATAGGCAACCTTCCAGAAAACGAATTCAGAATAATGATAGTGTAGATGATCCGGGACCTCGGAAAAACATTGGAGGCAAAGATCGAGAAGATGCAAGAAATGTTTAACAAAGACCTCTCAGAATTAAAGAACAAACAAACAGAGATGAACAATACAATAACTGAAATGAAAACTACACTAGAAGGAATCAATAGCAGAATAACTGAGGCAGAAGAATGGATAAGTGACCTGGAAGACAGAATGGTGGAATTCACTACTGTGGAAAAGAATAAAGAAAAAAGAATGAAGACAGCCTAAGAGACCTCTGGGACAACGTTAAATGCAACAACATTCACATTATAGGGGTCCCAGAAGGAGAAGAGAGAGAGAAAGGACCAGAGAAAATATTTGAAGAGATTATAGTCAAAAACTTCCCTAACATGGGAAAGGAACTAGCCACCCAAGTCCAGGAAGCGCAGCGAGTCCCATACAGGATAAATGCAAGGAGAAACACGCCAAGACATATAGTTATCAAATTGACAAAAACTAAACACAAAGAAAAATTATTGAAAGCAGCAAGGGAAAAATGAAAAATAACATACAAGGGAACCCCCATAAGGTTAACAGCTGATTTCTCAGCAGAAACTCTACAAGCCAGAAGGGAGTGGCATGATATACTTAAAATGATGAAAGGGGAGAAACCACAACCAAGATTACTCTACCAAGCAAGGATCTCATTCAGATTCGATGGAGAAATCAAAAGCTTTACAGACAAGCAAAGGCTAAGAGAATTCAGCACCACCAAACCAGCTCTACAACAAATGCTAAAGGAACTGCTCTAAGTGGGAAACACAAGAGAAGAAAAGGATCTACAAAAACAAACCCAAAACAATTAAGAAAATGGTCATAGGAACATACATATCGATAATTACCTTAAACGTGAATGGATTAAATGCTCCAACCAAAAGACACAGGCTTGCTGAATGGATACAAAAAGAAGACGCATATATATGCTGTCTACAAGAGACCCACTTGAGACCTAGGGACACATACAGACTGAAAGTGAGGGGATGGAAAAAGATATTCTATGCAAATAGAAATCAAAAGAAAGCTGGAGTAGCTATACTCATATCAGATAAAATAGACTTCAAAATAAAGAATGTTACAAGAGACAAGGAAGGACACTACATAATGATCAAGGGATCAATCCAAGAAGAAGATATAACAATTATAAATATATATACACCCAACATAGGAGCACCTCAATCCATAAGGCAACTGCTAACAGCTATAAAAGAGGAAAT